AGGAAGATGTTCCACGGTTGGGTGATGTGAATACAGAAGATGTTCCGGAGTCATTTCTACCATCTATACAGTGTGACTAGCTCTGTGGCTGACCATCAGTTGATTTTGTGGCTGAGTATAATTAAGCTTTGATTTAGGTGATTAAGCTCCTTGGCGCTCAGCCAACCCAATGTAAGATCACCATGCAGACGACGATATTATCCCCTGAAAACCACAAGGTCTTTTTAAATCTTAAACAGGTGCTAAAAGCCATCAACAATTTCCGTCGGGTTTTTACCAAGGGTACCACACTTGGTTGTCGTATTCAGCACCTAGCTTTAGGTAGAAGTTTAGCTTTTGCAAAAAGAAGGTAGCATAAAACCGGCCAAATGCTGTCCTCGGTTGAGCCCGTTTTTGGCTGGCTTGTTCACTTCCATTTCAGCCTACATTGTGCTTCCGAAACCGTCATGCACGAGGACCCCAATCTTGCCTTCATGACAGATGCGCTGCAAAGGTGGTCCCGTATTGGATATTCGCACTTTCAATGGTGTCACGTACACATTATTTGCGGTTGACTTTGTCAAACTCGAGCTTGTTCTGAGCTGGTCATTCGTTAGCCCTTTTGGGATTACCCCGCTTTTACATGTGAAATTCGACTCTCTGAACTGTCCGCGAAACTTTGAACTCGTTCGCTAAGGATAGAACATTCGACATGAAATATCCCATGATAGCGTTTATGAGCACTACGGTAGCCATGCATTTTGTGCCTAGCTTTGAGGGACGCTACAGTGAACCTTAATCGATTCAGGCACGGTGCTGTGAACTGGTATCTTTACTCGGCGTTGTAGTAGGAATGAATAATTATAGCCAAAACAGCTTAAGAGCAGGTCACTGATCCGATAGCTCTGTAGCTTTTAAATAAGATTGCGGTGATCTAGGCGTCTTAAAGTCTTCGAGAAATCAAGCTAGATAGCATTGAAATCTACTCAAGCATCTTCTGATTCCATCAAGTCAGCGCTGGCTAACATCATTTCATGGTTCATTACTGTTTTAACGGAAGCCATTATGCTCCTGCGGGAGAACACTTCATCCTTCCAAAAGATTCCATGAGCTTTCCCGCAACAATCTATTTCATTGATTTGGCAAGCTCCGAAAGATGGATAATCGGCTGTCAGTTTGGGGCACTGAATTATCACCCCTTAAAATAGGAGTAACTTTCCGACGTTCTCCAACAGTAGGAACCTACATCTCGTCGAGACAGCGCAAAAAAAGACAAATGTTCAGACAAGCTACCTACAATGACTTGAGCGTAAGTTGCCCTGACAAGGAAGAATATGCTTGCTTATTGATAATAGTCTCTTCAACACATCAGTGACAGTAATGTAGATGTGTCTAGGTCCCGGTGTTGAGGTTATCTTTGACAGAATCTTATGAGACGTTTATGATTCCTGGAAACTACAAGCTGATTGACATCTAAGAGCGTCAACCGTTTCATGAAAACTGTGCGCTTGCCATCATGCAGTGTTACGAAGCTGGATGTCCTGTTGTATTTTATGGGTTATTAACTCGGGAAAGAATACTACTTTAGATCGCTAATAATAAGGTTAGCCGGTTAACGAGTTCCCCCAGGTGATATCGGGGGTTGTTTAGCTAGAATAGACTGCTTGGTGGCATTAGTAAGGCCAGATAAAAATGAAGAAAATTTTCAAATGTGTAATTTCTCTCTGACTCTGGGTATGATGAATCTCCTTTAAAAATGTAATTAAAATCCACCTTTCCCCCCTCTGTGAACAAGTGTTGGATAACCTGTTTGTTTTATAATCTTTATCGGACTCCAGTTAGTTGTGATTAATAACATAAGACTGTGAAGTCAAAACAAGAACACACACAAATTTGCAAATTGAAATCGAGCCACATGTTCCCGATGTTTGTATTCAAATGATTTAAAGACGTACTGGGAGTATCGCTCCATTTCTTATTAGCACCAAGCAAGAAGGTTTACTTGAATGATGTTTTCTTCTGTCTTTCTTATTTTTACAATTTGATTGCAATTTCATGCCAATGTTATCTGTCACTGCGTCCGCAGTGTTAATGTGAATTACTGAAAATGTTCCCAGTCGGGTTCAAAATTGCATTTTGACATGACTGGACTTGTCACATATTGACAAAGAGGATGACAGAGGTAGATCTTTATGGAAAGTGAGTTGTCGTAAAGGTGTTATTTAAAATAGGTGGTCAACTATAAAACAACTGATAACTGATATCAGAACAAATGTTAGCGAACAAGCTCGTTTTCAGTGGTTCATCATCAGGCTAATACAACACAAATGAATGACATGAACGTAAACATCAGCTAAGCGTACAGGTTCAAAACCCAGATGGTCTGAATGGCCAAGCTAGGCGACTGGCCCCACGGCGATCAACAGTTTGTTTATTTGTGTGTGTGGCTTTGTCCACACTATGTGTCCGTGTTACAGGGGACCAGGGTAGAGTTAGTGCCTGGACAAATTTCTTGTGTACACATAGGTCAGGGTCATGAAGCGTGATGGCTGTCGCCTCGGCAGCTGCTAGTAGATGACATCTAAACGCTCTTATGTGGCATCTGGGTACGCGGTAAATGGGCTGGAACGCCTCATGCGCTCTGACTTGATGGCTCAAGTCGATCAAGTATTTAGTCACCGCATTTGCCATTGACCTAGTCACGTCGCTATACAGCGAAGCTGGACCGTGTTCCCTGGCTATCTCGGACAGTCTGCTGGTAGTTCTTCCGATATATCTTGATCGACACGAGTAAGAGAAAGAGTATACACAGAATGAAGTACTAGACCTTGGAATTCTGTCCTTAAGTTGTGGATTCAGGGTCGGCAATGAGTAGAAGCTTAGCCGTAGGCTTGCTGTATAGTAAGTTTGGGCGATTGCGGCAGAAAGCCTTCTAGACGTTGATTCAGCTCTCCCGTCCCCCTTGAACGGTAACGATAAGTAGATCGGTTTCTTTCTTACTGAATCCACTTTTGCCTTCGCTTCTCTTACCTCCATGTCTCTCCGAACGAACCTCTCATGATAGCCATTTCTATCGAATAGGCTTCGTACAAAGTTTAGCTAGTCCGAAAGCTTGTCCTCGCTACATATCCTTCTTGCTCGCTCGGTTAGGTACCGAACAAGTTTCCGTTTCTGGCTGAGCGGGACGAAACTGGCAAAGTGAGTATACTGCCCAGTCTACACACACCAACAAAAAAACTGTTGATCGCCGTGGGGCCAATCGTCTAGCTTGGCCACTCAGACCATCTGGGTTTTTAACCTGTACTCTTAGCTGATGTTTACGTTCATGTCATTCATTTGTGGTGTATTAGCCTGATGATGAACCACTGAAAACTATAAAACCAGAAACAGCTCGAAGGATTAAGCCCCACAGATGCCTGAAAATTGCCTTTGTGCATACAACTGCAATCTAGCCAGACAATTGCAGTGGCGTTAAAAGAACATCAAATCAATTGATGGTACTTTCTAAATCTACTGTAACTTAGACAAAAAGGTATACTTTATGCAATGTGATCCCTTACCAGACAAAACTTTATAGAATGTGGTTTAAATATCCATGCTTAGATTTGGGTTACGAGAAAACATTTGTCCTGTTTCATCAATTACCCTACTAAAATTTGGCAATCTCTTCTGTTCATTGCTTTCTTGTATGCCTCTGAAAATGGAGAGTACATTGGGTCTTAGTTTCAGGTAGCTCAATGATCCTGCAACTTCGAATAGTAAGGAACAACATTCTATGTCGAACTGGAGGATGCTTAATAGATCAACTTCTGCTTAGCCACTTCCAATCATATATCTTGATTTGCAAAGGAAAATATACGAATGATTTATTTTCCTTCTTTGTTTGGGCACGCTACCTTTTATAAGTCATATTGGTGATGCAATAAATACTATTGCTTATCTTTAACATTGATTTTATTAGGTTGAGAAAGAGAATAAGATCACATTTGTGCCGGATTCACGCAAGTTTCGACCAATCACTTGGCATTTCGCATCATTAACTTAGGTGCAGCATTTATCCTTCGTGTGGATAACTGAATTCTATTTGTGGTCAGTCTATGGGAGCAATCTGTCGTATCCATTCAGGATCAAACCAAGCGGCGCATCCATCGCGATGATCACTGTATTCAAGAATGCTTTTGTCACCGCTTAATGTACGTGTCATCCGGCAGAAGTATGACAGTCGGTTCGACTTAACAGCAAAGGAAATGTGTGCAAGAGCGTGCAAAAAGACCACATGATATGCAAACGCAATCCGTGATGGCACCTCCAAATGCTAGAAGTGCTGTCTCACTTATATACATGTTTTTCCCATGACAAAGAATCAATAAGCACTAGGGTGCCGGTAAACTTTTCAACAAATCGTGTAGAACAAGTCGATTGACATTTGCGAAAGTGTGTAAAATTATTTGCACTGCCAAAACAATCTTACTGAACCGTTGAAGATTTGGGTTTTGCCGCTCGCGGTATTTGGCCACGCGACCATTTTCCTCCTCCTCTATACACATTAGATAAAACTAGCGATACTGTGGCTCTAACAGTATGTTAGCGAATATGTCACCACATGCGTATTAAACATGCAGATGGAAGAATTTGAAACAAAGCTCTCGTGTTTCTCTAAGGCGGACAAGCTGATTTTTATTGTAGTGCACGCACTTAATTAACAAAGCCTTCAATGGGTTCTTAGCAAAAGCTCACTTCCCTACATTACATAGTTGTTCTTGACAAGTAATTTTGTGACGGCGTAACATAGATTTTATGATGCTTTTTAAACTAGTTTTCCATTTGGTGATTACAGGAAATCGAAAATTACTTAAAGCAAGCTGATAAGAGTTTCAACTCATCTAACATGCCCGTGCCACGCGAGGTTGATCTAATTCGCTTCAGTAAGTAGGACGTTTGTCAAAGTAAATGTGCAGTATGCAGCAAAAATGTGGTTTTTGTTCTAATTGTTAATTAAATTGTTTATCCTTATCAAACAGTTCCACCTTCTTTATCAATCGAAATCACTCCGTCAAATTGGAAACGAAGAATAGGCAGCTCTGTCACATTACTGCATTGTATCGCTGACGGCGGCCGTCCAAAATTTCCAGATCATTTGGAGGAACATCTGTCTGAAGTTCCTAGTCCACAACGGCAACAATTGTCTTTGAGGAAAGTACATGGCCAAGACCGAAACTTACCAGTTCTAGATACGCATGATGATTGGAAGTTCACGTGGTTTTTTCGTCCCTCATATCCAAAACAACCGGTCTCTGCTTCGGTGTTGATCAATAATAACTCCTTGCAAAACTTTGCGTCCGTTGGTGACATGGTCAGAACATCCGATAAGAATCCATCATTGTTGATTATCCGGAATCCAGAGAAGAGTAATGCCGGCGCGTACACCTGCCGCTTGGATGGCCCTGGTGGGATGGTCTTCAAAACGACCCTTGTAACTTTTGCCTGTAAGCTTTACGCATTTCCGCTCTGAGATGCATACAAATTACTTATATTTACTTATATTTGTTACATGTTAACATTAAAGCTTTAAGAGGCTATAAAAACAAAATTTAGGCCAGCCGTGATGTGGCATCATTTTTACCGTGAAGCTGAACCACGAGCGATGTTGTAACGGTGACACGTTCCTATTTCAATGCAATAACTGCTCAATTTTGCAAACCCATTTAATTGCTCAAGCCTTATTTTTATACTTGTGTATTGTACTAGCACCAAGTATAAAAAGCGAATAATTTGGACAGCAATATTTTATACTTAAAACATGTAATCGTGAATTTAACCTGGAAGCTTTAGATTACCTTCCAAAGCGTGCAACGCTAAACGTCAGGTCATTCAATCTGCTTACACGAGTTATGTCCGTTCCGCAAAGTATTACGATGACCACCTAGTTTATAAGTGCCAAACGATAGGATTACGAAAACGTGAAGGCTGTGAGTTGATGCTTCCATCGCAACTATCAGTAACCAAGATGCAGCCGACAAATCGTTCAAAACTAAATCACGTGAAAACGGTTGGTGACCGATGGTTATCCGATTGTGGAAATACACGATACCACCATAGGTTAATATCCCCGTCAACTTCCTGAACCTTATAGCGATAAAGGCTATTGATTGAAAACAATCGTCTGTAGGGTAATGTCAGATTCACCTCACAAACGTAGAAAATACTTTTTCTATGAATCTATAACAGTTAATAGGGCCCTTTTGTTGAGGTCATATTTTCTGATAATCTTATTTACAACTTGCAAGTGTGTAACAGGTCGCGAATGATAATCCGGGGCGATATCAAGTAAATGCAAACGCCCTGCAGGCCATCCACTGAAGTGCGCAGCGATGAATTGACAACACATGGGTGGCCCTCCGTGTCCTCACGTTCCGCATAACATGATAATCAGACCGTATTTACTCTCAGAATTCTCGTCGCTCACATGTGTGCATATACTCATTTAACTTCGACGTAACAAGCGTTAGTTAGTGCACACAATACATCAGATCAAACCTGTGCGGACCAAATTTTACCACACACAAAGAACAGTTTTCCCACACTTCCAGCAGAAACACCACCTAAATTTTCCAAAATCAGAGAATCACAGTAACGCCTTGATTTTAAATTAAAGCCAACTCCGAGGTGTTTACGACAAGGCAAAAACGACTGCTGTTGGTCGCTAAGTAAAGAATCTATTAGACCATTTGTAGCCGTAGTTAACAGACGTTTTGGTTTCTCTTCCGAGCAAATTCTGAGCAAAACATTTCGAAGTCGCCTAACCCGCAAAACCCTGTGATGCATCGCTTCAGTTTGCGGTCGCTTTGACATAAAACAGTTCTGTTAATCTGCTGTAGAGAGCCACAGCCGCGCAGTGACATTAAAAGTGCATTTAAGCGCTTAGCAAATGCTTTGAGTAGCATTGATCCATAGACATGAGACACAACGTGTTAACGGATCAAAAAAGCCAAACCCAGCGTAACCAAAATGAAAGTAGTATGTAGCATTCCTTCATTCTAGAAAAATGCATGGGCATGGGTCCAGTTTTGTAATCGCCTCGGTTAGTTCGATCCTGTAGGCAAGATCCACAGAGCGATGAAGCAGCACATTGGCAGACTAGAAATTTTGTGATGTTCTGTAGTATGCACCATCATCCCACTGGTCAAGACTGCACATGAATTATCTCGGAAATACGCAAGACTGGTGAAAACGAATACAAAGATGAGAAACACCTATATCCATTTATTAGGAGAAAGCACGACAGGACGTACGCTCTTTACCAGGCTCCTCATCAAAACTGGGAAAGAGGCTGTGCGGCGCGCTACGATTGTGACACGTGTAGCTTTGGACGTCAACCATCGTGAAAATACCACCTGCGGCCCAAATACGCTTGAACCAATCATAGCCAGCCATATTGAAATACGCACAACTATGGCCTCGTTTTAGCTACAAATTGTTGTAAGTCTCTTAAGTGCTTCGACAACAGGGTTGTTTGGAACTTGATTGCTGCCAGCAGCAATTAGAAAGGCCATAAATTACTCCTATTGGACCCGATGTAAAGGATGAAGGGGAAACTGCAGTTCCACAACGTCCACCAGTTGTACGCGGGCCAACTGATCGCTTGATCTCAACCCAAGTTGCACATGTATAATAGTGACACTTAGCAACAAGGTTTCAGAATCGACGTCACATTCACTACAACGTAACAACTCGAGGTTGTGGTTTAGCGGGAGACCACATGGGACATCATGGGTGTTCTAGTTATTTCCGCTAACTTGACACGGGTCGCAGGTTACCCCAACTCACAGCACAGCGGTAAACTAAGACTTTGCGGTGTCTATTTCACTTCCGCCGATGAACCAGAAGCTGTCATTTAATTTACCGATATACACCGGAGTGGATCATTTTGATCCCCATATTTACGGATATTCAGTGGTCCGAGGGCCAGCAGTCGAAACACTACTTCTACGAATACCGGAAGAAATCCGTAGATAAGGCCATCCTTTGCCAAGGCTTTTACTTAAATTAGAGGTCATGATGTCGTGAAGGTACCTCTCACGACAGTGAACAGTGCCCATAACTTCAGCAAACCTAGTCCCTGTAATGCTTTATACCACAATCGATCTCGACGCTGCCCAAATCGCACCAATAAAATTGGTGCTTCAATCCAAACGAATGTCACCTATGGTCTTGGCTTGCTGGTATGCGGATCGTAGTAAACTACTTTCAGAGCACCGTCTCAAAGTAGCGTCCATTAAACCAATAAATGAGGGCAGAAATTTGTTTGGACCACATCCTGACAGCAGTTCAGATGACGTCACTCAACTATCCAACAGAATTAATGAACACACCCCATTTGTTACGTATATAATAAGGGCAAAGTAATAATGGTACAATTCCTAGATATGTTACAAATATATTCATCACCGCCGCAACCCATAAACGATTATTGGCTGACCTTTCACCAGTAGGTACAACATTACATCATAAACACACTTCCTGCGACTGGCGGATAGGAACAAGTAATCTTACCTGCATTTGCACCAACACAAGCCTCTGGAACAAGTTCGCCGATAAAGGTCTACTTCAAACATCAAAGGCTTTGAATCTTAAATTCGCAACTGAAACTTGGTTATACTAAGAAATTACCGACTCCCAATTCGCGATACATTACATCTCCCTTCTCCTAGCAAGTGAAGGGAGTTAATTATATAATAATATAATAATAATGTGTCAGCTGTACGCCGTAACGGCGCTTCGCTGCCGCGCGACCACCACCAGTCGCGCGCGGGCTGAGTATACCGCGAGGACGCCCGGAAACGCTGATCATCTACTCGCTCTGGTGCGGTCTGCGACTAAGACACAATGACAGCTGTCTTGTTTTAGTTGTTTCTTGTCCCCTAATATCCATTTCAGGTATGGACTCCCACCTGATATTAGCTTTCTGGTGACTTCTTACACAACGATACAGCCATGCTCTCATCTGAGACGGATTCAGTTTTCATGATCTGGAGGCTTCAGCACCCCAAAATGAAAAGTTCAGGGCTGACCTACAAATATTTATTTCAGGCATTTAGCTCTTCAACCATATAAGTTCTTCCAGCAGATCAAGAATGGGAAACAAACCATCAATGCATATTTAGTGCTCACGAAGAATGGGTTCAAGAATCATAAGTCAAAGATGCAGAGTCCTCCTTGGCTAACTGATCCCCTAAAGATGCGTAACAGCTGTGCGTTCTTAGGAGTATCCGCAAGAAAGCACTGCCTCTTTTCGTACAGTTAGAGCTTGCGAATTACTAGGCCAATTTGTTGGAGAGTCCCACTTCTAGTTTTTAGATGGCTGCTGAATGCCTGTAGCTGGACGAAGTTTGGGGGCAAGCTCAGTTATCTGATCATATCCGCAAAGGAAAGAGGATCCCATCCTTCTTTAACAGCTCCATCGCTCAATGACAACTAAACCCGAAAATGCACAGCAGCAGGAGACGCACTGTGACTAATGTACAGAGCATACAATTGTCCTGACAACTGGAGCAAAGATGATACTTATCGCCATCACCTTACCACATAAGTCCGTGAGGACCAGTTAGCACACCACAAGAGACTATCGGTTAAGTTTTGTGTTAACAACAAGCCTCCGCACAAATATGTTGCCAGCTTCCGGAATGTGAAGCGTGGGGTTCCTGTAATCATCCCAGCAAATAGATGTACGCAAACCGCCCGGGATTCAGACAAGACTCAACGGCGAAATATTTGCTCTAAAATCCCGACGTAACTCAAGTGTGTGTGATATAACTGTTCTAGGCCACCAACTGCCAGTATTTACACCCGTTGCTATTAGTTCACGACTTTTTTATGACAACTGCTATCAACGCACACCCATTGTACCCTCGGGGTTAACACCATCCATCTGAGGGCACCGCAAGCAGCTGCTAGGAGGATACCCGAACCATTGACCCGACTCTTGCAAGCATACTCTTATAAAAAGCAAGTACCTAACGGGTAGAATAATTGTATAATTACACGGAGTATTAAGCGTTGTAGCCGTACAGACCCTGCCAAGTATCGTACACAAGAAGTGTCCTCCTGCTGCACTAAATTCTGATGGAGACGACCATAACTGGGACACCAAGGTAATACTTGGAATGCTACCGAATCATAGCGCCAGAGCAACAGAGCTGCCCTAAACCTTTGTCATGAACTACGAAACTACTAAGTGCACAATGCAAGAGGACTGGAACAAAGATTACTTATGTTTCTAAAATCTTTTACCAGGTAGATCATCGAATCCTTCTCCAAAAGTTGCAAACATTAAATAGATTGGAAAGTTCCCTCTTCGGCTACGGTTTCAGTTTTCAGTTAGGGGGCATTCTGTGATCCTATAGTGGTAGAAGGCCATTTCCCCCAAATATCAGAGTTAGGACCTCGCATTTTTTGATAATCCTTACCAACCTGGCCTGTGTCATCG